TGGCTTTCTTCTGCGAATTTGTGGCCGAGAATTTCCCAAGAAGAATGCATGGAGATGATAAGAGTGCCAAGTAATCAAGAAATTTCTAATATTATGATATCTATGGGGTCATTTAAAGCCCCGAGAGAGGATGATTTTCCTGCTGTTTTTTTCCAACGTCAGTGGAGCTATATGAGGGATCAAGTTTGTGATTTAATTAGACAGATTTGGTCTAATCCAAAGCAAGTTTATGAGGTTAACTCAACCCTCTTGGTTCTAATTCCAAAAATAAAGAATCCAGAGTTTATCTCGCAATTTAGGCCCATCTCGTTGTGCTCAATGTATATAAGTTACTTTCAAAGGCATTAGTGCATAAGTTGAAGCCAGTAATGGAGAAAATTATCTCCCCGTTCCAAGTAAGTTTTGTCCCAAATAGAAAAATTCAAGATAATATTATAATTGTGCAAGAGTTAATTCATTCTATGCATAAAATGAGGGGTAAGAAGGCTTTCATGGCATTAAAGATTGATTTAATGAAGGCTTATGATAGACTTAGTTGGAATTTTCTGCAGAGATCGCTTGAGGAAATTAGACTTCCGCAACATCTGATAAAGCTCATCATGAACTGTGTTCAGAGCACAAATATAAATGTTCTCTGGAATGGGGGTAGGACGGAAGCATTTAGGCCTACGAGAGGTATTAGACAAGGTGATCCACTGTCACCTTATCTTTTTGTTATTGCAATGGAGAAATTGTCATACATTATAGCTACTGCAACTAGTCGTGGTTTATGGAAGCCAATTCGGGTGGGTGTTAAGGGGCCTCAAATTTCTCATCTAGTCTTTGCAGATGATCTCATGATTTTCATGGAGGCCAGTGAGGAGCAGTTGGATGTACTAATGAAGTGCTTATGTTTGTTTGAAGAAATTTTTGGACAAAAACTTAGTATAGATAAAATAACTATTTTCTTTCCCAAAAATACAAGTGATGTGGTGGCTGATAGGATATCTCAACGTAGTGGTTTTAAAAGAGTTAAAAATATGGGTTGTTATGTGGGGTCTATGATGCAGCATAGGAGAGCAACTGGAGACTTGTATGAGAGTATTATGAACAAAGTAAGGTTTAAACTTAATTCTTGGCAGCAACAGTGTCTATCGCAGGCAGGTCGTATCACTTTGGCTCAATCGGTAATGACAACAATTCCATTTTTTCAAATGCAAAGTTGTAAAATTCCTCAAGCAATTTGTTTAGAAATTGAAAAAATCCAGAGAGGCTTCATTTGGGGAGGTGGTGAGAATAGTAGGAAGTACCATAGCATCAGTTGGGAATGTATTTCGCGTCCTAAGTGTTGTGGTGGGTTAGGGCTGAAGAGACTGAAACTAATGAATGATGTTTTTATTGCTAAAAGAGCTTGGAGTTATCACGTTGGATCTAATCAACTTTGGGTTAAAGTGCTTCATGCTAAATATGAAGCAAGGAGTACCCAGAATGGTCCTTTTGCAGTGAATAATGTGATTCAAATTTTTGGAAAAACATGTGTAGGCTTTGGGAGGAATTGGATTGCTATCTCATCTGGGTTCTTGGAGATGGAAGGGAAATTATTTTTGGCAGCATAGATGGTTAACACCTCAACCATCTCTGCAAGAAGTTGCATCTAATTGAGATCAAAATATAGATACAAACAGGAAGGTGGCTGATATGATAACAGTGGAAGGGGAGTGAGACTATGTGGAGTTAAAATACTGGCTTCTAGAAAATATAATTAATGTATTTAAGAATACTTTGTCTCCGAATAGTCTTGATGGCACTGACAGAAAGATGTGGGATCTTTTGGGTGAAAGTGTGGTATCTGTAAAGGCTCTTTATAATACTCTTAGGGAGCTGAGAGATGTGGGGGAAAATGAATCAAAAATTTGAAAAAATATCTGGGGATGGAAGGGGCCACAGAAAGTTAAATTTTTTTATATGGAAAGTGGTTCATCATTGGTTATTAACTACGAATAGAGTTGCTCAATGGTCTGGGGGGAATGATATATGCCCCATTTGTAGCTCTGAACGTGAGACAATGTTGCATGCTTTGAGGGACTGTTTGGAGATGAAACAACTTTGGTTAAGTCTGGTTTCCATTGATGGAAATTCTGATTTTTATCAGCAAAGTTTGGATGAGTGGCTTTCAAAAAATATAACTGTGGGAACTGATATTTCTTTGTTTTTCTTGACTTGCCGGAAAGTGTGGCAATGGAGAAATGAGAAGATGCATGGAACTGGTATCCCTCATTTCAGGTCGAGAGAGGTTCTAATTCATAAGCTTCTTCATGATGTTGAGATGGCTATTGGGAGAGTAAATGAGCATTCAGTTGTACGCAGAAAAAAGTATGTTGACATTTCTTAGCAATTTCTTTCTTTGGGATTTGTTAAGGTTAACACAGATGGTGCGGCTTGCGGAGCTCCTGGTATAGCTGCTTGTGGTGGGGTTATGAGAGATTTTCAAGGGAGATGGCTGGGTGGATTTGCTTATAGACTTGTGATTTGTAGTTATTTTAGAGCAGAGTTATGGGGTGTGCTTCGCGAGCTAGAATTAGCTTGGAATTTTGGCCACCGTAATGTTATAACTGAAAGTGATTCAACTCGTGTTATCACTGTGCTCACCTCCCAAGATGCACCAGCTCGTGAGAGTCAGTTGATTTCTCGGATACGAGCATGGATTCAGAAAGATTGGTCAGTTAGTTTCAATCACACGTTCAGGGAAGGAAATGCTTGTGCGGATTGGATGACAAATTTTATCTTGAAGCATGATGAGGCTGTGCAATATCTTTTTTGTGAAGAACCACCACCTGACATTCACATTATTTAACTGGCTGATCTTATTGGAGTGGAAAGACCGCGAGCTCTGGTGATCCGGTAACTTCTGTTTATGTTTTGGTGTTCTGTCTTTGTTTTTATTTTTGGGACTCTGACCCTCTTGGTTATAAAAAAGTTAGTGTAACTTCTTTAGAATCAGACTTAGAAGGGACATTAGGATTTGGCCGCTATTAGGGCAGCAAAGTTTAACTTTTGTTTATGTATTAAATGTTACTCTCTACGCTTCCTTACTATTTTTTTTTTATAAAATAAAAAATAAAAATAATGATAAATTGTAATACCCTATTTTTTTAAATTAAAAATTTTGTACGAAATATGATAAATTGAGAAATATAAGTTATAGGCAATAATAAAAATTATAACTTTTTGTTATAATAGAAAAAATTGAGTCAATATAATTGTTTCTAGATTAAGAATCAATCCCATTCTATATCACTTATATGAATACCTTTCTTTAAATAAAGTTTATTCCCCGCCACAATTTGTTGGGACCCAGGTTTCACAAATAAGAGCATGGCATATCAAATTTCTATTTATTTTTTCTCCTTTTCAATTTGTCTAGAAAACAATATTTCAACTCACCGACACAAATTTTTTTTTAATACAGGCTATAAATAACTTTTTGAAGAGAGTCGACTTCCGTTTAGTATTTGGAAGAAAACAAATTCAGATTTTCTATCCATCTACTTACGGCCAACTGAATTATATACATTTTTTTATGTTATATTGTCATTTTAATAAAATCTTATTTATTTTTTTATAAAAAAAAAAATCTTATTTATTTAATATGGAATTGATGTTTGTAATTTTTAAAAATATAAAATTATCTCATTTTTTTTATAAACAAATTATCTCATTTTAAATAAGGGAAAGAAAGAATCATTATTCTTACAGTCTATTTTTTTAGGATCTAGATCCTCTCATGTGAAAATTCACATTACCATGTCATGTGGAGAATCATAACCATACAAAGGTGGATCAATGGTAATAAAAGAAGAGAGAGAAAAATATATTAAAATAGGTAGTTACAAAATCATAACCGTTGATTTACCTTTGTATGGTTGTGATCTTCCCACATGACCATATCAAGTTTTTTTTTTCCACATTAGAGGATTCATTTCCATTTTTTTATCGTTAATTTTCGTCAATCAGGTTATAATTTATTAAAAATTAATAATTAATTAATAAATATAATCTAATAAATCATAACCGCTGGATTGACGAAAATTAACTATGTAGCATCGATACTGACACGGGGCACGTGACACGATACTTCGACACGTTAATTCTAAAAAATGTTAGATTTCGACACGTTAGGACACATTTTGATATTAAATAATATTTTTAATTTATGTAGTATATATTATATTTAATATTTAATAATTTAACAAAAAAATGTATCTAAACTTATAATATTCATAAATTTTGTAAAGAAACATAAAATATCCCAAATATTTATATTAAACTCAATAAAATGGTAATCGTAATCCAACGAATCTAATAGTTGGAACTAAAAACTCAATGGAACTAAAAACTCAACGCATCTTAACATTTGAACTTTTTTTTGAATTTCTATAATGTGTGTTGAAGTGTCGGGGAGTGTTGGAGTGTCCGAGAGTGTCGGGAAGTGACGGACACGACACGTCAGAATTTTTGAAATGTCGGTGCTTCATAGAAAATTAATGATAAAAAAATAGGTTATAAGCAAAAAGAGGTGATAAGAATAACACTTCTTATAAAAAAAATACATAATAAAAATGATATGAGAATAAGTGAAAGGTTTTTTTTCTTAATTTAAATTTGGGTTAGTACGTGTCCTTTTAAATGATGTAAGATGTGTTCTTTTATTTTTTTTTTACTCTATATATTTTCTGTAGTACATAGTTATAACATGAAAGTTGTTTTTTTTTTTTTTCACTTTTGGTAAACTAACGTGACTGCGGAGAGAAAGAGAAAAACTTTTTATATAATAATTATATGCTATCGAAAGTATATAAAATAAAAAAACTAAAAAGACACAACTTACATTTTTTTTAAAACACAAATAGTTTTCCCTTTAAATTTTAAATAAAAATATTATTTTAAACTAAAATAACCATTTAATATTTATGAAAACACAGATATAAACAAAAGTGTTAAGTTTCAAGTTTCAACATCAGAGGAAGCAGCATTTGACTGTGTCTCTGCACAAACCCTCTTCATTCTTTTACACGCAAGAAAACAGAGAGAGTAATGGAAGATCAAGAAGAGGGTGAAGTTTGCGAAAACAAGGAAACTCCTGTTCGAGTATATGCTGATGGAATTTATGATCTCTTTCACTTTGGCCATGCCCGTTCTCTTGAGCAAGCGAAAAAACTGTAATTTGAATAGAACCTTTTTTTTTTCTTTTCTTTTCTCCACCCATCTCTCACTACTTCATTTTTCACTTGAAAAGAACCCATTTTTATGATTTTTAGTTCAACCCCATATTTTATTGTTTTGGGTTGATTCATATCATGGGCTAAACTTGACTTCAACTGCACTAACCCTCAGTTTAGTTCATTTACCACTTCAAAGCATGTTTCTTTTCATGTTTTTTTGTTGCCTGCTGAATTATTCGATCAATCGTTTTTTGTTTTTTTTTTAATTGAAGGTTTCCAAACACTTATCTCCTTGTTGGATGCTGCAATGATGAGACCACCCACAAGTATAAGGGCAAAACTGTTATGACTGATAAGGAACGCTATGAGTCTCTTCGCCACTGCAGGTTGGGTTTTTTTTTTTTTTTCTTGGTATTTAAATTTTGACTCATTATTGCTAATGCTCAAACTTTCAATTTAGACCTCCTAAGAAAGCTTCTATCTTATCAAAAGAGTAATAGTTGCATCAAGTCAGGTTTTGATTGAATGGAGTTTGATGACTTGTGCTTGAAATTTGTATGCTTTTTCTTTCACTACACTCTGTTGGGCAACTAATTGTATGGTTTTTGACCATGATACTTCTGTAGACTATTCCAGAATAGGTCAACGCATGGTGATACTGGAACCTTGAAAGTATACATGTTAGATTGTAGCTTAGACAAGTCATGAATGTCATTTTGTTTCCATTTTCGAAGGTACTGTTTGTGGACTAAGATCACTGGTTAACTGAGTACAATTATGCCGATTTGTCATGTCAAAGTTCTTTGGTCCCTTTGTGCCTATAGAAGTCTATGTTAATTTTCTCATATTCTGTTGCTGAGGCTATATTGAACTAGTTTCATCTTATGGCTGCTTTCAGATAATAAGTTTATTCTGAGCTGGTCTGACCAAAATATTGGTTTTTGACATCCTCATTTTATTTGAATACGGCTGTGGACATGTGGTGTTGTTTTGTCTAGTTGGAGGATGAGTTTTACTTCCAATATATTTAACTATGAAAACTGTTTGCTTCATCATTTAAAAGCTCCACACTTTGCTTTTGTTACCTCCTAAATAATGATTGAAATCTTCCAAAGAAAATTTGTAAATCCAGTCCATTCTTTTGGCTCATTTAAATTGCTTTTAAATTTCTGATTACAGAGTATTGGACCTTTGCATTTTCAGTTCACTTAATTGCTTTCACTGGGATATTAGAATACATGAAGCAGTTGAATTGTACTTGCTGCAGGTGGGTCGACGAAGTTATACCAGATGCACCATGGGTAGTCACTCCGGAGTTCCTTGACAAACACCAAATTGACTTCATAGCTCATGATTCTCTTCCGTAAGGTTAACCAGCCCCAGGCTAGCTGCTTTCCTTTGTATTTGATCAAGGTTCAAAATTTGTGACTTCTTGATGAAAAAAATATCAACACCAGGATAGAATTAACTTTACATTGAATGGACTCGGAGACTTGCTTGCAGGTGCTATGCGAAAAGTTTAGGGTTCTTAACTAGGAAGCATGGATGCAATATAAGACATGGATCTGACATGGATACGGGGAGATGTCAGATTTCCTAAAATATAATAGGACACATGGCTGAGACATGTTATATAAAAAAACAACAAAATAATGTATTATCATTATAGAATCTCACATCCTGAACATGAAAAACAAATCCTTAACATACAGTCTGGCACTGCAATCGAAAGTGTTATTCCTTGTACTTTAATTTCTTTCGAAAATATAGCTATTTAGAAGGAAAAAAGAGATGCTGAGTTCTATTTTTTTTAAAAGGTTTATAAAAAATATGATAATTAGGTGGTATGGATAGGAGGAGATTGTCTGTAATTGGTAAGGAGGAATTGGAGAGTTGTTCTGTGTATTATTTTTTATGGAGGTATAGTTTTATCCATGCACATACCTGATTGACAATGAACTCTCTTTAACTCAAAACCAGTAACATGAATTCACCTCATGGGAGGTTGAATTTGAAGTCCATGTCCCATGCATTAATGACTTCAAGTTTCTAAAAACATGACAATGTCAACATAATTCCTGGCCTTTGTAATTCACGCATGGCCAAAAATAAATTTAATAAAACCTCACGCTTTGAAATGTGTGTCATATCACATTCTTATTTCTTTTTTCCCTTCTTTTTTTGTGGTGTCATTCATGGGTTGCAAATTTAATCTGTTTTTGTTTACATCTATTGTAATAGCTTCTCTAAGATCTTATGTTGGATGAGTTTATGTGTTTTCATTTGTTTATATTATTATCATTATTATGTTGTTCTTATTTTTAATGTTATATTATTATTATTTTGTTTCCATTATTACTTCTATTATAATTTTTTTTAATTTTCTTTTCTCTTGCTTGTTTGGTGATGCTTCTACCTGTGACACTGTTCTCTTTGCATTATAACTCTTTACTATATTTTGACTGAAACCATCTTCAAGTTCTTATATGTTCTCAATATACGTTAATATTTCCTTCCTTATTATATTGCCATAGTTATGCTGATGCAAGTGGAGCTGGAAAGGATGTCTATGAATATGTAAGTTTGAGTGATAGGCTACATTCAACTTATTCTTCTTCTTCGTGTGTTGACATTCACTTTTATTTATCCAACAATTCATCTCCATGTTTCTAATTTGACCACTTGAAGCCTTTCTATCATTGCCTTTTTATAGCTTTTTTCCCTTCATATATATTCTGATTGGCCTATGGCTTGCTGAATTTCTATTTGTTTAATTATTTTTACTTTGATGTCCTCTTTCCACTTTTTTTTTTGTGTCATTCTATTTTGAATGAATACTAGTTGTAAACATCTCAAGTTGTAAACATCTCAAACTTTTCAGCTGCCACTAATGATCTTATGCTTATTAATTCCTTATGTAGGTTAAATCTATTGGAAAATTTAAGGAAACAAAGAGGACTGAAGGAATTTCTACTTCTGATATTATAATGAGAATTATCAAAGATTATAACCAGTATGTAATGCGTAATTTGGACCGTGGTTATACAAGAAAGGATCTGGGGGTCAGCTATGTCAAGGTTTGTTCTTTTGGTTAGCACCTTTGTTTTGCATATTCTCAAGGTTTTCCTGTTTTATTAATCAATTGCCTTATTGGTTTGCTTTCTTATGTAGTGGGATGACTTATCTTTGTTACATGATCTCTTATTCACAGGAGAAGAGATTGAGAATGAACATGGGGCTTAAAAAATTGCATGAGAGAGTGAAGAAACATCAAGAGAAAGTGGGAAAGAAGGTAATGATGTTGATCATGAAGTATCCTATTAACTATTAGCCTTTGCTTTGTATTTGCATCAATAGCTATTTGCATATGGCTCTTTGAGCAAGGTGTCAATATTTTAGCAAAGATTATTTGATTCTTAATGTTATGTTGCTTTCATCTTTGTATAACAGCTAATTAATTATTGGTCTTTCTATGTTTGATTATTCGTGTTTAACTTGGAAGTTTGATATTTTGATACATATGTATATTTTTTAATTCAACATATGAAGAATTTTAAGGTGCTCAAAGTTCTTGATATCATTATTTACTAATAACAGCTGCTCACAAAAATATACTTCTTCAAACTTTAGATGAATTTGAATTGATCTCTTAGTGGTGTCAGCCGCAAGACTCTCAAAAAGATGTTGTAAGGTGCAAAGGAAAGGTTATAAACTGTCTTTTTCTAGTCATTACTATAAAAGTCTAAAATCTTTTGTGTCCTGTTACTAATGAGTACCTTGTTTGTTACTAATTCAGTTTCTTTGTTTTAAGTATCAGGTATACTTGTATAAGTAAAACTTGCAGATATGTGCTGCTCATTGCATTTGTCTTAGGTTTTTTATTTTGACACGGGGTCATTTGTGTTCTTAGGTTAAATTTTAGTCTTGGTTTTAAAATATATTCCTCGTAGTGTTACAACAAAACTAGGAAAGGTCTAAATGGTTGGTGTCAAACTGAAGGAACCCTCTGAAGGAATGATACCTTAATTTCTTTATTACATTGTTGATTTAATTTTCCTTTCCTTTTATTTTAAACCAAAACATATTCTGAACTAACTAATGCTGAGCATTTCCTGTTAATTAGTAATTAGGGATCAGAGATTAAAGATTAGGCTGTCCGCTGTAATGCAGATGGGCAAAGGAGAATGAAAGAATAATATTTATGATTATTATATTAATTGTTATTTGATGCAATTGTATTTTGGAATTAGGGTTTAATTGTTTGGGTTTGGATCTGTGACATAGGGTTTGGTAAATTCCTATTACTAGTTTGGATTTAGGACCTCATTTTCTATTCCTACCTCCGATTAGAATGACTCGAGTTTTTAGTTACTTCTATAGAATTAGGATTTTTTGAGTTGCTTATATCTTAATATCTCTCTTTCAGTTTTCAGTTCTGCGATTGAACTTATCCATAGTAGTTTGAAGTAGTTTTTTTTTTTTTTTTTTCTCTATCTTAGATTATGGGATTGATAATTTTGACATTGACAGAGATTTAGATCACTGGATATTTAGGAATTTATTTAGAGGGACAGTGGTGGAAGAGTTATTTACTTCTGGAGATTAATGAATTTATAGGGATTTGGGTATGAGAGGAAGAAAAGAGAAAACAAAGACTCAATAATATGAAATTGGTATTGATTTGATGTGTTGTGATGTGATACTAGCTAAAAAGCACCAATCCCCATTTATAAACTTCAAATCCTAATTAATTAGGGAAATATATCGTAAAATATAAAGAAATAAGGAAATTATTCCTAAGAGATAATATCAGATATTCTAAACTATTATAAGACACAGTCTAGATATTATGAGATATTTTTCATATAATCTAACAAAGATGATAATTTGAAGTGGGGATGGGAAAAGGCTATGGTTATACTTTTTATGGAAGCAACCAATTTATATTTTTTTGTTGGTTCAACTTTATTAGAAGGAAAAGACTGGGAGGAAAAAAAAGGTTTTGATCTTGGTTTTCTGTCGTGATATGGTTTAAATAATGATGCATGGTCAGATTTCACCTTACCCCAAAAGCTAGCTCAAGAGGTAGGAGAGTCCAAAGTTCATATAAACCCCATATTAGTTACCCAGATAATCAACGTGGGACTTCAAGTCCTATACTTTGGAGTAGGATCGTAACATTCCACCACGCTCCGCAGCCTCGGCGCCCATGCGGGTTGGATTTGTGCTAGTCTTTTTTTACTAGTCCTCAGCGAACATTGCAATGCCAGCTTCACCACCCGTGCCACTCGATTGCAACTAGGAGACATAGTAGAAAACTTTGATACCAATTAATAGAATTGGATCAGTAATTAAGAAGTCAAACAAAAGAACAAAGGAATTTTGGCCTCGAAAGAACTCTTTCTGGATTTTCTGTATTTTACTGAACTGAATTACAAGGAAATTCCAAATGAAATGACAGTATAGAGGAAGACAGATACCAACCCAGCTCCCCCAAATTACATAACAGATAAAGAAGAAAAAAGACAGATTCAACACAATTACAGAGGTGCTTATCTCTCCCAGCCCAAAGTCCCAATTCCCAGACCTGCCTCTCCAACCCCTCCCTTCTCCCATTTAACCAAAAATCTCCTCAAGTAACTCATTCCACATCAGCCTCTACTCTCTCTCCTAACAGACTTGGCTGATTCAGCAACCTCATGACTCAATGATCCTCTAAAACGCTTTCTAGTGTAAACCTTGACAGGAAGGGTCGTATCAATATGCTTCATGAGAACCAAAATACCTTCTTTTTTTGGGGCCTTTTTTTTGTGAAATTTTTTTTATGGTTAAATAAGGGAAATATTAAACAAAATTATGTCGTGAAGAAAACAATGCATATATTGTAGCATTGTACCACAGGAATCTACTATACATAATTGTCAGTTTTTCTATCCCTTGTTGAAGGAGTGGGGTCTCAAAGACAGGGCAGTGAAAAAATATCATTGTTTTTAAGTACAATCATCTTTGCCACTGCAATATAAGTTAGATAAGGGTCATTGTCATGCGATGAGCAAGACTGTGTTAATGAACTATGCAGATAAAAACGGTGGGGAGAATTGCTGGAATGAACCGTACTGAATGGGTCGAAAATGCGGATAAATTGGTTGCTGGATTTCTTGAGATGTTTGAAGAAGGCTGCCACAAAATGGTTAAATCTCTCTTACCTCTCCAAATGACTAAATTTTGCATGTGGTCTTGTTAATACTTAGTTAGATATTGCATTTGTAAATCTTATGATTGACTAATTGGATTGGTTCACTGATATACTAGGGAACAGCGATAAGAGACAGTATTCAAGAACGACTGAGGACTCAGCAGCTAAAATCTCTTATTTATGATGATGAAGATGAATTCTACGATGATGAATCTGTAGAATACTACAGTGAGTAAAGTGACAAATAAGCTTGTGTATTTCCAGATTCTGAACCGTTCCTATAATTAAGCTATGCTTTTCTGTAACAAGGATCACTAGAAAGATACAGGTTTAAGTCATGTATGCGAGATGGTTTGGACATTATTTGCCTTTCTACATAAGTGTGATATCTATTTTCTTGTCAAATCGAAGGTAGCTGAATTTGAGAGTAACCAGATGTGGCAATAAATAGAATCTGTAGGTCCTTGAGTTTACTGAAGTTACCAAAGCTTTCTTGGACTTTCTCCCTTTCATATCTAACCTAACAATGTTTTAAACTCTTTTTATGTTTCTTTAAGGTATTTTTCTTGCACAAAAGCAAACTAAGGCATTCACCCGGGGCAATAAATAGAGTTACCCTTCACATTGGAAACGATGATGAACTAATGAACACAATGATAGGAGTTACTTTAAAAAATGGGGTCATTATACAAATATGCAAATTTTATTTTTATGCATATATCTTTGCATTGTTATATGGCTTTTGTTTTTGTACGTATCTAAAGGAAGCCTCCAAAAAAGTATAATATTACTCTAGGGAATCAGCACTTAATTTTTTGTTTTGAATCTTGTAATAAAACACACAATTCACCTTCTTTTATATTATATACTAGGGTTAAAGAAATAGAAAAGAGGCTAAAGAACAATAACCAAATCACATAGGTATCTTAAACAATAAACGAGAAAGACAAAATCAATACAGTAATAAAAAATATACCTAGATCCCCAAAAAATCTAACACAAATCTTCCAAAGATTTGAAATGATGTGATGAATAACAAGAACATTTGAGATGCCAAAACTCTATTGAACTATATTTGTCTTACAAAATAAATTTGGCAATAGTGTAAGAGATATTGCTTCGCTTTCGCTCTTGAATCTCCAGCTGAACTTGTATTGATTCCTCCATGAAGGATTCAAGGCCCATTATTTTAAGAGTAAACATGCTGCTTAAGTTAAATGATTTTTCATTTTCCAACCTAATTTTAGTTAGATGAAATCCTCTAATTAGAACTGAATTTACTTTAACTTTTACTCATACAATAGTTTAAGAACATGCCAATTTATAAAATTATCTTTTACACATATAAAAGTGTGTGGGGGTTAGGTGGGGTCATGTGAAGAGAAAAGAGAGAGAAAAAAATGATCCCACACACTTTTATATATGTGTAGGAGATAAAATTATCTTTTATAAAATGAGAGATATTAATCCTATTTATTTAACAATCATCTCATGACTTAAAATGATTTAATTTCAAATAGCCAATCCCAAATGTCAAGTTTAACTAACGGAGAAAATGTGTGTCATTTTAAAGGATTTAAAGTTGTGTCATTTTAAGAGAGAGAAACTGATAGATAAAAGAGGAAAGAGAGTTGACAAAAAAAATAAAGGTGTGGATTCCACCTCTTTACGAGAGTGAAATGATATAAGTTATATCATTTAAAAAGATAAACACTTTTCCCTTAACTATATATATTGCCTCCTATTCTACACGTGATATGATCGATTCTAGTCTCTTGCATCATGACAGAATCTTGACTAGAAAAGTTGGAAAGATGCTTGGTTGGTAATTTTAGTTGCCAAAATTTTGCTAGCTTTTTTAGTTGCCAAAGTGGTGCTTCTTGCCTAAGATAATATCATTAAAGCTCTCAGTCATATTGGACTTGTGGTTTAGCTTATAGCTTCCTCTCTTCATTATTGTTCACACTTTTTGATTTAACGTGTTATCTTATCTATGTTTAGGATAAATCAATGCATTCGAGTAGTGGGGCTGCTAATGATGATTCTATTTAATTTAAGAGTAAATATTCTTTTTGATCCTTAACAAATTTTACGATGTTCGTTTTAGTCCTTAGCAAATAAAAAGGCTCATTGTGGTCCCTAAGAAATTCAAAATGGATTCATTTAATTAAAATCGTGGTCCCTCACAAATTTAAAATAGATCCATATTAATCCCTCAAAAAGATTAAAATGAATCTATTTTGAATTTCTTAAAGACACGATGAACCTTTTTATTTTCTAGGGACTAAAGCGGACCAAAAAGAAAATTTACTCTTAATTTAATTCTATTGCAGATTCTAGTTTTCTTGTTTCTTCTGATTATTAAAGGCACGAAATCCTAATCCGCACAAAGTGACGTGACAAATGTGGCTTTATCACACACTTGGATATGTCGGAAGAGAATATGCATTGAGAAGGAAGAAGGATGCTTATTTGTTCAGGGGAAAAAATATATTACAAATTAAATAAGAAATTAAAATATTACAAATTAAATAAGAAATTAAAATATTGCAAATTTAGGCAAAAAAAACTAAAATACAAATTAAATAAGAAATTATGAAAATATAGCAGTATGGAACTTATTTATGAATATATAGTAATTAGTTGTCCCCAAACAGGGCGAGATCGGTCGTGCCTAAATTAGGCGCATTGGGGTGCTTGGTCGCGCCTCATTGGAGCGCGACTCACTCGATGATGACACGTGACACAAAAAAAGTCAACAGTTTGATCGTAAAACTTCGGAAGACTATAATTTTATAACTTTTGACTAAGTGTACGAATGAAGTAATTTTTTTTTATTTCATATAACTTTTTGAGATTTACACAATGATATCTCATTGAAGGAGATTTGGCCAAAAAAATTGGGATATTTTATAATGAAACTTTGAAAGGTCATAACTTTCGATTTGGGTGTCCGAATTAAGTATTTTTTTATTCCACATAATTTTTTGAGAGCTATGTTCTAGCAAATACACGGAGGGGATTTGGTCAAAATATTTTCCCAAAAAGTGCTTCTTTGTGCACCGTTTGATATATTTTATTTTTGTGAATATTGTTATTTAAATTTTACTTTTCTGATACTAACAAATAATCTTTCAGAAATTTTACAAGGCATAGATCTTAAGAATTTATGTGAAATAAAAAAAATCACCTAATTTGAACACTTGAGTCAAAAGTTATGAAGTTATGATATTCCGAAGTTTTACGGTTAAACTATTGACTTTTTTGTGTCATGTGTCATCACCGAGTGAGTCGCATCCAAATAAGACGTGACCAAGCACCCTAATGCGCCCAATCTAGAGACGACCGGTCGAGTCCCGTTTGGGCGCAACTAATTGCTATACATTCGTAAATAAATTCCAAACTGTCACATTTTCGTAATTTTTTATTTAAATAATAATATTTTAATTTTTTTCCTATTTGTTCATCCTTGTGTCTATATCCCAACTCCAAAGCACCGAGACGCTAAATTTTTCAAAATGTGCGTGTCGGACACGTGTTCGACACGAACACGCTCTCACATGCGAACAACATTTTGGGACACGCAATCAACGCTCCGACACATTTTTTCGACACACAATCAACTTTTTTCGACACTCGGTCAATGCTCCGACACGATTTTTTTTACTTCTTAATTTTATTTTATTAACTAAAAATAAAATAAAAAATTATAAATCAATTTTTTTCTGTTATGAAATTTACATGAAAAATTAACAAGGTACGAATTTTTTTTTTGTTTATATTTATATTATGAAATTTGAATATTTGATTGGTTATATAACTTATTATAGACCGTTATATGTATTAAACATAAATTATATTATATATATTAAAAATATTATTTAATATCAAAACATGTCCTAACGTGTCGAAATATGACATTTTTTAGAATTAACGTATCGACGTATCGTGTCGTGTCCCGTGTCAGTGTCGGTGTATCATAGTATCCCAATATGCCGTTATGATACCAAGATAACTTGTGTGGTTGTGGTTGCTGATTTTTTTTTTCATTTATTCTGTTTTAATCCGGTTTGAGCACTGTACCATCTATAATTATTGGAGATAATTCTCTCAGTATCATTTTTTTCATTCCATTATGGTGATCTCTTTGATGCTTATCCTTATCATTATATGATAATTCTCTCGGTATCATGTTTAAAATCAGATTAGTTAGGTGATTAAATTAAAAAAAAAACTAATAATATAACTTAACAAGAACATGTGATCAAATAGCATGCACTTAAAACAAAAATTTCTTTCATGTACTATCTTCAAATCCTCTTAGAAAAAAGGTTTCTCCATTCCTATAACTATGTTACGGTGCCAATTTACAAAATTGGCGGAGGAAGCTCATACATATATAACCAGGACCTGCTTGTATTGTATAGCCTTTCATAGAAATTAGTCTCCTATAAAATGGAGAAAACAATATAAATATATATATATATATACTAGCAAATAACTATCCAACAAAACAACCAAGAATCCCTGCTAGAAAACAATATAAATATATATATATATATAAATGCATATGAGTAAAAAGCAATAAGTGATTATTTTCCTACTTTGCTCTCTCCTCTTCTATGATACATGAATTTTGAGCTTGCCGATATGTACTTGGACTCATTTAGCATACTCATACCAATCCTAATAATTTTCTCAATCTTTAGGAGAGTTTGCAATAATATAATTGATCAGAACCATTTCACGTAGGATATTGGGCTAGTCCATGAAGGGCCCAACAGGCCTAACGCCTAAGGTTTCATGGTTAAGGAAATGCAGTCATCGCATATAAATTGGCAATCCGCCAATCCCGCAAGTACTCTTACACATAGCATCAGCTCAATTTATTATCGCTGCACGACATCAGCAGCTCAGGATTCTATAATCACCCTAATAACTAATGGCTAAGGGATAGGCACCTAGCTAGCTCTAACAGTAATGCCTATGAGGCATAGCTCATAAATAGACATCTCACACAAGATAGCCAATAAGAGCCATCATTGTGCATTTATGAGATTAAGTACTGCCATACTAAGGTGACATAAATAGGACAGTTAACTACTAAATAGAGGCTTGGAACCCGAGTATGATCATCTTTCTCATCTTAACCGAATTCTTATTACTCATATACTGACATGAGAATCAGAATGTTTTGTAGTCTCAAACAAATAAGAGATAATAAGTTAATTGTGGTGGAGCAAATCAATCAGAAAATCATTTCAATATAACAAGTTAGGGAATAATATTTCTCATGTTATATGAGATAATCTTATTTCCTACACACATGAGGCCCATGTGGGTCCATGTAAAAAAAATAAGAG